CACACACACACACACACACACACACACACACACACACACACACAGTGGCAGGGCAACTGCTGTTCAGTAATTTGCAGAAAGACATTTCCACATGTGGAGGATCTGGAGACGGAACAGTTTTATTTGCAGGGTCTTTTGAGCCGTTTACACAAACAAAACAATAAAAACATCAAATAAAAATCAGCGTAACTGTGAAACTCTCAGAAACTAATCACTGGATGTGTTGGATCTACAGCTGATTCACCTTTAGAGGCGACGCGATTCATGATGGTCACCACAGCTACTGCGATTGACCTGATAAAACACACAAAAGGCTCAAACTCAGTCAGTTCTACAGATAATGAGCTAAAGCATTAGTAGCTGAAAGTCTGTGCTGACAGGTTTGAATAAGAACTCGACACCGGTGTAAAAGGAATTTGTTGGTTGACATGCATTTCTTTCCTGATTTCACAGTTGATTAAAACTGTGACAGCAGAAGAATGATGTTTTTATGAGCTGCAGAGCCTCTCCTGCTGCAGGCGAGAATTAGGGACACGTCTGATGAGTGGTCCAAAGTGGAAACATTAGCCCCGCAGACCAAATACCCCCGGCTCCCTTCAAATCTTTTTATAGGTTTGGGTCCCATGATGCCCCGCTCATGTTTTTGGGCAGGGTGGGGTTGGTAGTTTCAGATGATTGAGGGGCACCGAATGACTGAATCCATCAGAGTTATTTAGCCCAGCACCGGACATCTGAGTGGACCGAGCAGCAGATTGTCTCGTATTCTCCTGCAGGCGCTCAGAGAAGCAGCGATGTTTCTGTGGACGTGAAGCTGAGGTTGTGTTTCGGTGCCGCAGGGAGCGAGAGCTGCYTGACGTCGGGGTAGAATGGACACCGGGGAGTGGGTCAGGTTGTGTGGGAAGCAGCGAGTGTTTGATCYTGGAGGTAAAGACCGTTAAAGATCCCGAACTTCACCTGGTGAGGATGAACGGCTCGTCGGCTCCAAACCAGCTGTCGGTTCTGATCAGCCCGGCTCCTGCTGGAAGGAGATCAAGAGTCAATGTGAAGAAAGCTGTACGGATATCAGATTTCACAAAAGAAGTGAACATTTATTCTGTAAAAACTGATTCATAATGTTGTTTCCTAGTTTTCTTTTGTAACTTTTATAGTTTTGAACATARTTAGCTTGTTTATTTAGCTAGTTTTCAGCCTTTTTTAAAATATATTTTAGCTTTTGTTCTGCTTTAGTAGGCTTTGAAGTAGTGTTTGGTTTCTTTTAGCACTTTTCTATTACTCTGTGTCTTCTAGCATTTAGCTAGTGTTTTGTTACTTTTGACTTTAGACAGTGTTCTYCATCCTTTAGCTATTGTTTTGTTCATTTTAGCTTTTAGCTAGTGTTCTGCTTCTTTTAGRTTTTAGCTATTCTATTTATTTTAGCTTTAGCTACATTTTTGTTCCTTTAAGGTTTTAGTCAGTGTTCTGCTGCTTTTAGCGTTTAGCTGTTTTGTTTCTTTTAACTTTTAACCACTGTTCTTCTTTTAGCTCTTAGGCAGTGTTTTGTTCCTGTTAAATTAAAATTAGTGTTCTGTTTCTTTTAGGTTTTAGCTATTTTCTTCATTTTAGCTTTTGCTAGCATTTAGCTAATTTTATCCTTTAGCTAGTGTTTTGTTAATTTTAGCATTTAGCTACTGACCCTCTTTTTAACCTTTAAGTAATGTTTTCCTCCTTTTTAGCTTTGAGCTAGTGTTTTACTTCTTTTAGCATTTGGCTGTTGTTGTGTTTCTTATAGCTTTTAGCTACTCTTCTTCTTTAAGCTCTTAGTGTTTTGTTCCTGTTAGATTTGAGCTAGTGTTCTGCTTCTTTTAGGTTTTAGCTATTTTGTTCATTTTAGCTTTTGCTAGCATTTTATTCCTTTTAGCATTTAGATATTATTTTGTTCAATTTAGCTTTTAGCTAGTGTTTTGTTGATTTTAGCATTTAGCTACTGTCTAACCTTTTAGGTAGTGTTTTGCTCCTTTTAGCTTTGAGCTAGTGTTTTACTTCTTCTAGCATTTAGCTAATGTTATGTTCCTGTTAGATTTGAGCTAGTGTTCTGTTTCTTTTAGATTTGAGCTGTTTTGTTCATTTTAGCTTTTGCTAGCAATTTGTTCATTTTAGCATTTAGCTACTGTCCCTCTTTTAAACCTTTTAGGTAGTGATTTGCTCCTTTTAGCTTTGGGATAGTGTTTTACTTCTTTATGCATTTAGATATTGTTTTGTTCATTTTAGCTTTAGCTAGCGTTTTGTTCCTTTTAGGTTTTAGCCTGTTTTTATTTAAGCTATTAGCTCTTCTTTTGCTCCTTTCAGCTTTTATCTACACTTCTTTTGGCTTTTCGGTAGTGTATTGTTCATTTTAGCTTTAGCTAGCATTTGGTTTTGTTTAGGTTTTAGCCAGTGTTTCTTTAAGCTACTAGCTATTGTTTTGTTCCTTTTAGCTTGTTTGTTTTTAATGTAAATCTTTAAGGACTCAGTTTCAGCTTCTTCAGCACACCTCAGTGAGGTCCTTCAGKTTGCAGGCTGCACGTTTTCGCAGTAAACGCAGTTTAACTAGTTTTCCGTTGGGCTGTTTTTCCTCCACAGTTTGTGACTTTGTGAAAAACAGGGTTAGCCTGCATGCAGTGAGCTGTTGAGTTTGTTATTTATAGGCTCATGGCGGTGCGTTCTTGTCTGTGTGTGTGGAAGTGGGCTTGTTATGCAGCTCGTGGTGGTTTCTCCTGGCCTTTTCTTTGCACAGCTGTTGTGAGGCAGGTGTGCGAGGCAGCTGTGGGGCTCAGCTTCTGTGGAGAAGTAGCGCTGATAGGAGACTGCTGGCTCAGCAGAAAGTGGAAAGTTGCTGCTGACCCTTGAAACCGAAGCAACATGATTCTTTTTTTTTTCCTGCCAACAGTTTGACAGAGGAAACAACGGCCTCTTGTTCTAATCTGTGATGTATATTTTTATAGACGCCCAGTTCCTGGACAGAGGAGACCCGTGGACGCAGAAGTGTCGGTGGCCACAAGCGCTCGGCGTCTTGGGGCAGTGCAGAGCACATGAAGGAGGCAAGTACTCCTTCTCACTCACACTCTGCCGTCTAACGCCGAGAGCATGAAATATTATGTTATTACCCACGTTTCAGAACAAATAACACCGACTCTTAAACCATCCTTACCTCCACTCTGCCCTCAGGTGGCCAAGCTGAGGCACCAGCTGCAGAAACGTTCTCGAAACGCTCCTCCCTCAACAGGAAGTGAGGCCCACCACCACCACCCGCCAGCAGGACACGCAGCCGGCATCACACAGGTTCTCCTACAATCCTACAGTTTACACACGAGGGTAGACCTGAAACACTGCAAAAGTTCTCAACCGCCACTTAGATATGAGAAAAGTTGGAGGACAAAACAAGTCAGGGCTAAACACGCCAACAGTGACGCAGTAACGCCATCCCGGCTTGTTGTAGTTAAAAAAAAAACTAACCATAAAAATGGCAGCTCCTGAAAGAGTGGATTTAACCGTTGTTGGATGAGAAGTATAAACCTGGTTTGTACGATCCATCACACCTGTATGACACAAAMCACGTCACACTCCAGCAGGATATATCAGACGTATGTTAGAGTCATCCAGTATATGAAGCTGGAACAGGAAGCTCAGTGCAGCTCAAATATTTCAACATTAACACTTTAATAAGACATTATCGTCATTATGGCTTTTAGAAATGTTTTTGGGGAGGTCACTTCCAAATAAATGTCATTTTTTCAACATTCTTACATTCACTTTTACTCATTACTTTTATTTTTTTGTATTTAAATATATTTTTTATCAGAAATTTAATTTTGATACTTAAGTACAGTGAATGTCAGATACTTTGAAACTTGTACTCTTTATCATTTTGAGGCACTTTATACCAG